AAAAAAAATACGTTTGATCTTTGCAAACAGACCTAGGAGCTAATAAAGGCGTTTTTAAAAATTATGTAAGACTCACTTGTTTGTGTTCCAACTAAAACTAAAGGTTCAGCGAACCATAAAGCCGACATCCTAAAGCTGAGTGCTAAGAAACGGGAAAGCTAATAAAACTATTATCCCTCAAGTCATAACTTTATCAGTACCTTATTTATATACCCCTTAATGCTGCACTTAAGCGGAAAATTTAATTAGAGAACTCACTCTTTATAGTTTACTGTCGTTGCAACTTTTAAGGCCATATAATTATATTGCGACGCCCACAGTAATAAACGAACTTTGTTTAATGAATTTCCGAGATTTATCTTCACGTCTGTATTCGAATTGCGCAAAATAGGTGTTAGTTGTAGGTTTTGTTTTGTTTCGTATAGTTGCTAATAGGATATAGGTGGACGCGTAGGCACCGCCTGCGTACTTCGATGGCACAAAATAAGTAGTGTTTTTTCTTTATGAAAAAAAAAAAGATTATACATATATTTGATTAATATTTTTTAAGAGTAGGTAATATTTCCACCGCAAATTAATCTTGCGTTCCAGTTTTTTAAGTGGGACGGCGATGGTACCATAAAAGAAAGATTTTGATCTCATTGAATCAGCACATTATGATGGTTATGGGCTTGTTTTGCCTACAAAGAACACTACAAAACTATTTCGTTTTCGGAAAAGATCCCTTAAGCTCGGCATTCTCAGTTAGGAAAAAAGCCTGAGTGACTTATTACTTGTGTGTAAGTATTGCTGTTGACATGGGTCGTAATTTCTAAAAACGAGTCGCTTAATCGCCTATGAGCTTCCGACAGAACGTGACATAACTTGTACGTTTACAACACTAAAAGCTTATATCGGAGACAAAATAAATTTAAGAACCACATATATAAAAGCTCTAAAAGGCATAGAGATAAATTCACAAAGAGAAATACTTGCAGCGACGAAACTTCTGGTTGAACTAACGGAGTCCCGACCGCCGCTTTAAGGTTCGACCGAGTTTACACTTTTAGAAATGTTGTTTACAAAGAGAGCCATCGTTTGTAGAATTTTGTGTTGGGGAAATAATTTCTTACTTAGTGGGTATTTCAATTAACTGATCTCTTCAGGGAAAGTTTTTTTATTTTCTATAGAGAAATGATCAATTGATTAGATATTAGCATTGACACTGTCGAAATATTGTAGTTGGAGTATTTTTTTAAAGAATATCGGATATATTGGAACAGCACTGGAATGGGATCTTATTAGAGTTTTTTTTTAATATTCAACTGCTTAAATCTAGGGTTCGTCAGGTAACAAATATCTTTAACATAGATATTAACCCCGTTGTTAATTAATCAGAATCAGCAGCCGCAGTCTAGATCAACGCGACGAAAAATGTATGCTTTTCAATATTTTGGATGTTATATCTTTTTGATGGTCTGTAATTATAGGAGAGACAAGAAAATTATTAAAAAAAAAATCGGGTCCTCCCTTTCTGACGTTGACGAAAAAATCGAAATTCAACCATCACAAAAACTTGTTCAATTTATACAACACACGTTAACGTCCCCAACGTGTAATTTGTCATCGTTTGGACCGCGCGAAAATTATTTCACATTTACCCGAAATGACTCACGTGTAGTGTGTTTATAAATCAATACGGTCAGTGTGTTTTGGCTGACTATTTAATGCATATTTTGAAATAAATAATCAAATACAAAATCATACTGGTGGTAGGGTGTCTTCAAAGCTCGCACGGGTAGGTAATACCACCCTGCCTATTTCTTCTGTGAAGCAGTAATGCGTTTCGGCTTGAAGAGTGAGACAGCCGTTGTACGATAAAATTGAGACATGAAAGAATGGAGACCTCGAGTATTTACTTTTTGATGTCTATGCTCTTTGGTAACCATGCCTTATGCTTGTTCTAATAAGAAAAAAATATGGAGCACCAATTACACTATGCTTTTTTAATGAAGTACATTGTTAGTTGAGGTCACAACCTGCCTTTTTAGGACACCTCTTGGTCATTTTAAGTTGAATCCACCTTGGGACATAGATTTGAAAATTCATTAATTGCAAAAATAAAAGGTTTTTAATATCGGCATGAAAATTCCGGATTCAACTAAGACACACGATTGCTTCGCCCGGAAAGTGGCAAAACAGTTATAGTTACGCCCGCGGGCTCGCAATGAGGTCTGAAACCGGTAATCACGCTAAATTTATGGGCGTGTAATTTTAATTATACCATGTTCATTCGTCGCAGAAACGTTATGTTGTATAATTGTTTCCAAAAACACTATTTCCGATTTCTAAAACCTGTCTTATATAATAACTAGCGGTCCACTCTGGCTCCACTCGGGTCTTTAACAAAATATTTAATTTTAAATAAAACATCACTTTTTGCGACATAACTATAATATTTAGACATATGCTGTCGAGACATTTTTGTACATAATAATGTGTTCTATAAAGTCGTAGTACATAATTTTATTCTATCATCAATAATTTTCGCAGGGCACGCGATGTAAAGAATATTTTAGGTAATTTTTTTACACCTGGGTTACATTATTGGAGTTTTGGTAAGGATCCCGAATTTTTTTCAAAAAAGATTATAGCGTTCATATGATTCACGTCACTTGGGAATAGTGTGGCTTCCAAACAGTGAAAGCATTTTTCAAATCGGTTCAGTAGTTTCGGAGCCTATTCAATACAAACAAACAAACAAATCTTTCCTCTTTATAATATTAGTATAGAAGTATAGATATTTAAAATATTTATATACATTCAATTACTTTGTGGCGACTACAAAGACCATCACGACGTCTAGGTAGACCGACTTCAATCTATTCGGAGGAAGCTGATAAAAAGGTGACGATAAAATAAAAGAAGAACGAAAGGTGACAGCAAAAGAAGAGACAAGAAAATGATATAAAGCCATTTATAAAACTGTATACAGGTATTGATTTAAAAACTATACAAGTAAATTTAATTACAGATACGCTAGATGAAAAGAGTCTTTAACTTAAAGCTATTGTTCCTATAAATTAGTTAGATTATTTTTTTCTTAAACGACATTCTAAATAATGATTCTTGCTATATACCTGCTTACTTACGATACTTAGAGACCTTACTCGTCATATTTCAGTAGATTTAAATATTTATCATAAATTTACAGAAATAGCCCCTATTTAATTTTGGATTTTACTTGTTACTATTAAACGGTTGAGAGTATGTGATGGGACAAATAGAATGCCAATGCTCGATGTCCATCCTATCTAACTACAAACTGAACTTTCTTATCGCCTTTTACTTCAAACAATGTACTAACAAAAGTTGTTCTTGAGAAAGGCAATTTAAAATCAGCAGGTACTCGATAAGTAGGCGACAGGCGACCTTAACTTTGATTTAACATTTCACATCTAAAACCTGGTCGAAATTATTAAATCTCTTCTTCTTCTTGCTTCGGTTTCCTCAAAACTGAGGGTCGTGACCACCTCCTCGCAACAGGAGCTTATTACGGACCATTCCACGCCATTTGCCTCTATCTGCCGCCGAGTGTAGAGCATCGTGAACTGTGGTGTCGAGGGTAGTGCGGATCTGGTCAGTCCAACGTGTCGGGCCTCTACCTCGTGGTCTTCTTCCGTTCACCTTGCCAGTCACCATTAGCTTCTTCAAGCTGCCTTGATCCTTTCTTGCAATATGGGCAAAGTATTCCAGAACTCTACGTAAGCAGATGGTAGAAAGCCTCGTCTTTAAATTGCCCATTTAATTACCAAAAAAACATACCGAAAGCGGCACGTCCCCGCATTGGCTTTTTTTTCTTTGAGTTTGTAACTGCTGATCAATTAGACACTTGTTGGATAGCAAGCAATATACGAGGTCGCAATATTTATAAATTTCATAAATCTTAGAAAAACAAAATCGATGGCTCAGTTTTTCAAGTGAAGCCATGGTCTGAAAAATAAGACGCCCGATGTATTTATATCAATTCATGCGAATATGCCGGTGTTCAAGTCCCGTAGGTAGAAATAGATAGGTAACGAACATAACATAAATCAAACCCGTAACAAATATAGATTGAGCTATTACTGCGAGTAGGACGTGTTGAGCTTGTTTTTACTTTCATCTTGCATTTTTCTGTGGCGAAGCTAGCTAGTAACGCGTTTCGGTTTAAGGATGGAATAACCATTATGTTATTTATCTAAGATTTAGACCTCACGAGTCAAAGTGACATTAAGTAATTTACTTATTTAATTAGTTGTACTAATTAAACTATAATAAAGAATGTAGTTTAGTTATAACTATATTATATATTTAACTATATTATTTAAATAGTTTAACTATTAATGTTTTTTCTTTAAAGTTTGTAACTAATTGCGAATGCTCAACTTTTTCGTTCTCATCTCAAATTCACTGTATTTCGACTTGTAGTCTACGGAAATGAAGTATCGATCATTGCTGCGTCAAATATACACACAAACAATACAAATAGACACTTTTTCTTTTAATGTAATCATTCCAAATGCATTAGCAAAAGTAAGCCGGTTGCATCGCTACCGAATTAGATCGCTCGGGTTAGCTTAGGTCAATACAATTATGCTTAATTGACATGAGGGAAGTTATTAAGTGTCCTTAAATTTCAGTCTGTAGCAAGTCAGTTGTCAGTTCGAACGCCATTAATATCGTCTCGAGTTAAACACGAAAACTGTATTTTTCGAATCATATTATTTGTAAATTTTTTTTTGCTCTGATTTTCAGTGCTCGTCCGTGTTCAGAGATTTTGCTGTCGAGTGTACTACGAGCAAAGTCTCGTATTTTTTTTCATTATTTTCACTTTTCCTCGTTTGAATATTTAATGAACTTCTGAGCGCGAATGTACTTTGTTGTTTTCTATTTAATTTTAATGTGACCTGTTTTGTGTGATTCCTGTTTTTCATCGATTATAGCAGTGCTTGAAACATAAAAAANTTGTCAGTTCGAACGCCATTAATATCGTCTCGAGTTAAACACGAAAACTGTATTTTTCGAATCATATTATTTGTAATTTTTTTTGCTCTGATTTTCAGTGCTCGTCCTTGTTCAGAGATTTTGCTGTCGAGTGTACTACGAGCAAAGTCTCGTATTTTTTTTCATTATTTTCACTTTTCCTCGTTTGAATATTTAATGAACTTCTGAGCACGAATGTACTTTGTTGTTTTCTATTTAATTTTAATGTGTACTGTTTTGTGTGATTCCTGTTTTTCATCGATTATAGCAGTGCTTGAAACATAAAAAAAAATGTGAGTATTAATTTACTTAATTTTTTGCTAACGCCCTACCGAGATATTTAGTTCACTTGTATATTCGAAATATATAAATATAAAATTATATATTATATATATATAAGGGCAAGGGTACTTAACGTTTCACAACGCCCTCCACACCGCCAGAGACAAGAATGGATGGAGAAAGATCGTGCGTGCGAAGGTGATACAAAAGGGTGGTCACGACCCTCAGCAATGAGGAATACGACGCAAGAAGGAGTATATTCGAAGGTGCTATTCTTCATTTTCAAATAGGAGGTCAAAATTTTAATTATGACGGAATTACATCATTTTTAAAATCGTTAAACTTGATTGGTTGGGTACAAAAATAGGTAGAACGTCTTTACCAATCGACGCAGACTCTCAGTACACTCTATCGCAAGTCAACAATCTAAATAGCGGTTATTGTGAATACGTATTTGTTCGTTTACAAAAATCGTTTTCGCCACTGAGCCCTGACTAAATTGAATTCACGTTGAATCAACGTGGGAGCAGAAGACTTATCTACTCGTATATTCACGCAGGTATACAGTTCCGAGGTGAGCAGAAACGTTGCTATCGAAACAGAGTTTATTAGATGCACGAAGTATAACCATTTCGATTTACTGAAAATAGTTAGATTTAAATAATTTTTCAGTGCAATAGTTAAATGTGTAAGCACTATTCACATATCGTTTTATCTAGACAAAAATCTCATTGATGAATTGAAAAAAATTTTTTTTCTCTTTGAGTATTAAGCCTGTTAGTTTTCATAATAATATGGAATCCCGTTCAATCTAATTTATCTCAGACAGTTTTTATGTAGATACTAAATATACTCTATATATTTAATAGAATTACTTTATGCTTTGTCTTTAAATTTTAATGATACTGTTATCTTTTAGTTTGTGTATAGGTGACACCTATTTTATGTCTTTGAAACATAGTTGCTTTAAGACCTGTTCTACAGAAATGAGTTTTTAGCTGTTTACTTTTCATAAAAAACATATTAGATATAAAGAGGTGTGCTCCGTAGCTCGGTTATACTCGTAGCTGACGTTAAATTTTTAACAAATAATGAGAACTTGATATGAAAGTCTTTGACCTTCTATGTGGTCGCTCATAATGGGAAAAATATCATTAAATATCTCCCTAGCTAGGTTTTCTAGCCCTGCGAAATCAGGAAAGAGAAGATTTACAGGAGAACCTTAGTACCCAACTTACTTTGAAAGATTAGGAGGTTGAACCCCGGTCGCCGCCGACTCAGCTCTCTTCGCCGATGATATGGCTGCTTACTACTCGAGTAGAAACAAGTCCCTAATCACGAATAAAGTTGAGACCACAGCCGTAACCTTCGGAAAGCCCCTGGCACTGCTGACGCCCATGGTCGACGGAAGCCACCATTAGGTAGGTCACCATCAGGTGGATCGTATGCTCTTCTGCTTACAAGAGTAAACAAAAAGATACGTCCTGAAGGATTAATTCGTTCCACTAACTTGCCATTAGGTCCACTATCATAAGGACGCCCCTAACTGAACTCGTTGAACTCGTTAAAAGAGTTCAATGTGAAACCTGACCCATACATCAGTTCGCTGATTTTCTCGCTGGATCTTATCAGTGGGTCATGATTCTGACCCGATAGTATATTTATTTGCGAAGCAGTTGCCCTTGAGCTGTTTGGTCTCTTTCGACGGCGCTCGGGCAGCTGTTAGCAAATTGGACCGTTCCGTCTGACCCTATGCTTCCTCACCCGTTCTGGTGAAACAGGAAATCCTCCGAGGTAATAGTAAGACCTTCCTCAAAAAAATTATATATGGCCTCGTGAGCTTAAATCTTCTGATCAAAAGCTTGTTATATTTTTAATTTTATCTCGCGTTGTAGTCGTGCGTCCAGTTGAAAAAATATAAGAGATGTAATTTTCAACCTTATATTGGAACTTTTTCTTTTTGTCCCAGTCTCAACGTAGACACGGGAACGTTTCAGGATTCTTTTTTCATCTTTTCCTCCTGTCTGTCAAAAGAACAAAAAATATTAAAACCTCGCTGCTCATTTATAATACATGCATACAAGTTTTCGTTTTAATAAATCTGGCGAGCAATTAATTATTTTAATTGAAATCCCTGATAATAATAACGCAATTAAACCACAGATAGTTTAGAGCGTTTGGCAAGTGATTTAAATTTCATTAAATTTTCAAATGAATCGAAAATACATTGTATGCATAGGTGATACATATTTTTCTTTCTGATTCTAGAGAAAATTATCAGTTCGCCGAGCATGGCTTATTGCTATGCAAGGGCATAATTATGTGTTCCAGTTTCAAGGGTAAACTACCCTTTCAATGGTCAATCAAGGGTAACAGCATTCCTGGTGGTAGGGCGTCTTGTGAGCCTGCACGGCCAGATACCACCACCCTGCTTATTACTGTGGTGAAGCAGTAATGCATTTCGGTGTGAAGAGTGAAGCAGCCGCTGTACTGTAAAACTTAGATAAATAACTTATGTCTCAAGATGGTTGGCAACATTTACGTCGTTGATGTCCATGGGATAACTATTTAGGCAATAAAAAAAATAATCTCGTGATGCCTACTTATAAAATCGTCTCCCAACTACGACATTGAAGTATTCATATATGATTTCATTTGCTGTCATCACGCTGATTATAGGGTCGTCGATTCAAAATAGGAGAAATTTGGTCAGATCTAATCGGTACATCGGTAACCACACGTTAATAAAAAGGATTCCAATACGTAGGTATCCAAACGAATATCCTTTCTAAAGCGCGATTTTCCATATTCACTGTTTATGTATTCACGCAACATATTCACGGAACTTATTCCTCGCGATTAAGGAGCTTTTACTGTATTTCGTATATTGTGATGGATTGGGATGATCAGGCTTATTTACTGGATGTCTTTTGACTGATAATTACGGTGAGTGAGAAATAAAGCAATTCACAATTGGCCATCCAATTTATCTATTTATTAATACGCGAAGCAAAAAATTCGTACCCCTTTTTACCAAAATTGCGCGGACAGAGGAGTAGTCCTATACTTACACAGAATATAGAGAAGGAGTGCAGAATGCTAATATCTATATATTAATACGTCAAGTAAAAGTTTTGTATCCCTTTTTACGAAAATTGCGTGGACGGAGGAGTATGAAATTTTCCACACTTATAGAGAATACAGAGAAGAAGTGCACAATGCAAATTTTTTTTGTAAATAATGCAGAAAAGATACATTAAATCAATAAAGAAAAGATTACACACACTACATACCATGTATTTGACGCACACACGCATGCATACTATTTATTGTCAAACTTTTGTTCTTGACGTTTGTTGTGAAATTGAGAATAGATTAAATATTGTTTGTCTTTGTTAATATTTTTTATAGTGTAGTCTTGGCGAAATTTAAGATCATAGAAATATATAATACTATCTTAATAGTGTACAAACTTACAATTCCAATTAATTATAGTCGAATTTCGGGACCTACTGCGGGACCTCTAGTTTTTTTTAATTATGCATAAAAATCATTAAATCATTTAAAAAATCATTACTAACACTACCATGCATTTGACACAACACATACATATAAATATACTCTTTATTTATTGTCAATTGTCAAACTGTTGGTATTGCTTAAAGTCTGTGGTCAAATTGAGAATAGATTAATATTTTTTGTCTTTAATATTTTTTATCTATAGTGTAGTTTTGGCGAAATCTGTGATTTGGTTAAAAGTATAATTATAGTGTTTGACAATTAAACCATACTAATGATTAAACTTATAATTTCCACTAATTATTGTCGAATTTCGACTAGGTACTGCAGGAACACTAGTTCAAACAGTGAGGCTTGACTGCTTTGCGTTAGAAATAGGACTGTAATGTAAAGATACAACTTCCGATCAAAATCAGCGGTCTGCCGTATAAAAACATAGGTAAAACAAAAACATAGCTCAAGCTAAAGTTTCCCACCGTAATTGTCTATACGTCTAATAAAATATGTCTATTACCAAAACCCAAACAGTTCTAAGGAGACTCTTTGTCACGGTTCATCCATTATTTTGTCATAAGATAATCTGAAAAGGGAATTGAAAATTATAAAATATTTCAAAATGACTCTTTTTGTTCGAACAAAACATTAATTATATAACGATATTATGTTAATCTTTATTACACGCATCGAATGCAAAATGATACAATGCAAATGATCCATTAAAACGCATTTAATTATGATAAATACAATAATATTAATCCTGTTCATAATACAAATCTAAATAATAATATGTTTAAATTAAGTAAAATGCTTGATTGGACGTAAAGCCCTTTTTAAAAGTAGCTTTAGATTTCAAGATAGATTCAGGCTGAGGCAGAGCACATAACAAGGTCATATCAGTAGCTATTACCACCCACCCATTTGTGCCAAGAAGCAAAAACTTCGCCCTAATGTCTTAAGGAAGAACAAAGTCAAATTTTTGTATGATACCTTGATAGTTAATAATATATTATTCTAGTACAATGCTGGCACGGAACTGGTTTCTTAATACATGAAATGGAATACGTATCAAGTGAAACGGTTATCTCAAACGTACAATGTTACCGCCGCAAGGAGCATCGGAAACTTTTGTGAATTTATTTCGCGTTACGTTGCTCGGCTCTGGCTGTTCAAATGGGTTTGTTGCATTGGTAACTTGGGTGTCTTACCACTGATCGAAAGGTTAAGCTTGTTACTTTTTTTGCAACGTCTGAAGTAATTGTTTTAGAACGCCTTATTGGTTCGTATTGAGAGTTGGAATTTAGCGCCAAAGTCCTGGCTATTTGTGCCGATAAGTCTTCTTAAACACTGCTCAAGTATTCCAATCTAATCAGGGTCTGGTGGTAGGACCTCTTGTTTCCACTAGTTTCTTGATATGTATTGGAATACTAGGATTACCAAATTGTTTTTCAAATGATAAACTTAATAGTAGCTCTTTGGCAAATAACCTCAATGA